TGGGAAAACTAAATGAGGCCAAGATGGCAACTGAAAAGCTCTGCTCTGGAAGATTCCCGGATTCGTTGCAGTTGTGGACATTACGGCTATCCATAGAGATGAACGGCACTCTCGGCGAATCTCCTTATCCAACCAAGGGTGACCTAAAATACATCTTTGAGCTTCTGAGAAATGTTCTGATGAAAGTTCGTGTTTCAGAAGCTGAAAACTTGTGGGTTATGGTATGCAGATGATTTCGAGTATTTGATTGCCTCTTTATGTGTGGATTATATCATTTTTATGATAAAGGAGTCCTGAATGTTTGTTCAGTTTGTTCTCTGTTTAATTGAACTTATGCCCCGACCCTCAAACATCAAGCTTGATAGTTCTTTGCTTTTTTGAATGGCGGAGATTTCAGGTTACTAACGATCTTTTCTTTGTTTTGTCCTTTTTTTCTCTTATTTGTTTTAGGGGCTGAAATACTTTGCAAATCATAGACACTATTTTGACAAGCTTGTGAAGATTTCAATCTTGGCTCTGGCCAGGGATGGAGGGAGTGAGGGTGGATTTTCACTCTCGTCGACAATTTTAAGTTACTTACTACAGAAGGATGGAGTTGAAAGTGCAAGAGAGACGTACAAGCAGTGAGTTTCTTGTTTTGTAACATTAATCTAATACATTTGTTTTTTTTCCCTTTTATATGGTTTTTTCTGATATATTGTTATTTTCCGCTAAATGCAGGTTTCTAGCTTTACCTCACCCTGGACTCGCTATATTCAGGAACTGCATCGAGCTAGAATCGAACCTTGCATCTGCTGGGGACAAGAGGGCCCTTGCCAATGCTCGAAAACTGTATGATTCTGCACTTGCGACTTACGATCAAGATGCGAGCCTGTGGCGGGACTACTGTTTGATGGAAGTCAAAGTAAATTCTCTGTCCGTGAGATTATGCATCAAGTCTATTAGATGGCCCGAAATTTTCAAATATTAGCAGATTTTTGCATTTGAAATATTTTTTTTTTTCCTTCAGTTATGTTCCGATTCAGTTTTGTCCAAAATTTATCAGTTGAATGGTCATCTGAAAGCTTATAATGATAGTTTTGATATATTATGACAGATGGGAAGCTCTGAAACTGCTGCAGCTGTCCACTGGCGTGCAATGAAGTCCCTCAAAGACACCGGTGCTCTTCGTTCCAGTATAATTTTGTCGTGAATATTGTGTGGAGTGTTTTACAATCATACTCTTTATTTATTATTTCTGGGATTATTCAGTTAGATTTTTTATTTAATTGCTGTATCATGAGGAAACACAGAGCTAGTAATCTGGATCCCGAGTCATTTTTGCAAGGGAAAAATTTTGTATATG